CTGGATAGTGAAGAATCTAAAATCCAGCATCTTTGATGTTCAGTTAAAAGAATCTAAAATCCAGCATCTTTGATGTTCAGTTAAAAGAATCTAAAATCCAGCATCTTTGATGTTCAGTTAAAAGAGGTGGAACAGAGAAGGTTAAATAATATCAACCCTCAAATATTAGTAAGGCCACATTTTGTAAAATTAAGCAAGCCTCTAATAGGCCTCACAAACTTTCAGAAATCCGAATCTGCTCCTTGAAGTGAAGAATAAAATAATTCAACCCACCCTTAAAATGTAAACATTCAAATCAACTCATTAATTTATTAAATAGATACAATCACTGAGCTAAACATTTCCATCTGCCATTCCTGGTGACATTATAAATTCTTCCCTCTATCCCATGTAAGCATTGGAGCCTGATGAGGTACAATAAATGATTATCTTGTTTTGGTCTATAATGGCAGAAAGACACAAAAACAATGGAATGTTGATATTTACATAGTTCAGTAAACATTACATGAATCAGGAATAAAATCTCAAGAATAATTTCTTTCTTCTGATTCTTTATAGCTCATTTGAGGATTGCAGTATATGATTCCTATGCATGGAATTTAGAGAAGTCAAACATCCCAATTTCCAACTAGACAATCTCAGATAAGAGGATGGAGAAAGAGTTGTAGCCAGACAACAAACCAAGGTAACAAAATTTGATTCAGTGTTCACCAATGTTTCTCAACCTCAGAGCCTTTAAGATGGGTGGAGTTCAATTCCCCATGCTGCCTGTGGAATTCTGGGAGTTGAAGTCCACCCATCTTAAAGGCAACAAGATGGAGAAACATTGTGTACTCCTTCTTACGGCACTGATTTATGATGTCTTTAACCAAGGATTAGGTAAATAGTAGCAATAGGTAGTCCTTGACTTGTGACTCAAATTGGAAATTTGGTTGCCCATAGTTACAATGATAAATTGAGGAATCCATCTGATCAGGCCTAGGTTTTTTGACATTTTCCATGATGGTCATTAAAAGAATCACATCATCATTAAGCAAATGGTAGGGTCATTAAGTAAACATATTCTTCCACAAAATGGGCAAAAAAATGTCACAAATCATGCTCACAGAATGCTACAACTGGTTGTAAAGGCAAGCTGATTGCTAAGTACACCAAATCTAAGTCATGTGACCAAAGAGGAGGACAAGGATCATTTTACAGTAGCTGGAAATACTTCAGTTGCCATAAAACGGTTCCACCACAAAATCGCGGAGGACAAAATCGCGCTCAACGAAAGCGCGCATTTGACGTCATCACAGCGCGACGAAAACATCGCGCTGTGA